TGCTAGAGAAGAGGACTGACTATCCCATGGACTGTCAAAAGAACAAACAAGCCAGGGTGTTCCTTAGACACCAGGATAATGAAACTTTATCTCACACACTTTTGGTATAAGAGGGACCAGTCCTCAGCAAAAGACATCATGTTGACAATAATGGAAGGTCAGAAATGACCCTCAACAAGACAGACAAGATAGACTGCCACTGTGACTCTAACAATTGGCTCGAGTATGTCAAAGATTGTGAGGATGGTGCAGACCTGCTGTCTATGAATTGCAGTTGATGCAATAGCATCTAACAATTTTGTGAAATGATCTCTTATAATCTATCTTCCTCTCAAAAGCAAGAGAATCCCTTCAGTTCTATTGTTCTAGTGAACTCTAAGACAAAAAGAAAAGGGCCAAATTCAAGTTTAGGAAGATTCAGGGATAAGACAATTAGAGTCATTGCAGAAGGTACAAGAGAATGCAATTGAATTGAGACTCTATTTCTTATGTTCAATGACCATATCAAGTACAAGAGATCTAGGGAGAAAGAGAATCTCAATCTCAGAAGGGAGAAAGTAAGTAAGCAGTGAAAGGGCAAAGGAAAGTAAGCAGAGATAGTGACAAAAGTGTGTGGACAGGGATTGGAGGCATAAAGAGCGTGGTTCATTTTGGGAACTCTAAGTATTAGATGTAGGATATGAGGAGCAGTGAATGGCAGGGGATGGAACTGAGGAGGTGGACTGAGATTACATCATGAAAGGAAGTGTCCTCAAATGCTGGGTAGGAATTTATAATATACTCTTATAAGTGGGGCCATTTATCAGACTTAATTAGAGTGGCATTTCAGAAAGATTATTTTAAGATTGGGATAGAAGATGGATTGGTAGGGACAGAGATGAATAAATTAGCCAAGGTGCTATGACAGCACTCCAGAGCTGGAGTGGATGGAAAAAACAGGACTGGATGACAGCTCTTAGAGGCAGACACCTAGGACTTGAAAACAAGCTGGACATGGGAGTATGGAAATACTGGAGGACATTGCTTCACACGTTTCTCACACTCCTAAATGTCTCGGCATAAGAACACGAGGCCCTGATCACTCCTTACTTGGTCTATTTCTCAGGGCTGTGCTTGCTACAATGCAACCTTGATGAATGAGGCAATGTTTCCTTTTAGGATCAAGAGCAGGCTTGCTTACTGTTTACTCTAAAAGCAGTGGATTTTCCCAAGCACATTGTTTTCAGCATTATGTGAACCACTACACTGTAGCACTTATTTGTGGCCTGTGTATGTGACATAGGCTGTAAGGAGTTGTACTCTTACTCCTAAAGCAGGGCCTCTCTGCTGGTTGGAATACACCAATGGTTCCTCAAGAAAAAAGATGAACAATCTCCTCTCTTGCTATTTGCAGCCCCCAAAAAACCTGCTGGAGGGTCAGCTATGAGTCAATTCTGACTCAAAGACAGTCACCTCTGAGGAACTTAGGGGACAAAGCATCAGTGCAAATATGATACATAAACTATTTGTTATGATTTGGGTAATAAGGCGCTTTTTCTCTGACCTAACAGACTTACATTTTTAACAGTGAAATTCCATTGTTTTCTACTCCACAAGTAAGCTAAAATATTAGTCTATAAACTGGGCAAGAGCAAATCTAAGACTAAATAAGGAGAAAGAATCTCTCGGCTTGAAAAACTTCGTGTAGTGTTTTTCATCAAGGGGAGAACTCTTCAGTAGGAGCAAGATAATGGGGTCAACTTTATATACAGTGATTATATTTTATTTCCATCTTTATATGGTCTTGATAGAGGTTTTCCCCTGCATTCAAAAGAGTAATGCTATGAAACCTTTCATAAACTGAGATGGTGTAAAGCAGCTAGCATTAATCTATGTGGGAAAAATTTCTTGAGTGTTCTCAGGTCCCCTAAAATAATCTAATTATCAAACATCATGTAAACCTAAAATACCAATTTTGTTGTATAGCATCAAGTCTGAACCAATCCATAGCTGATTCATTAGCAGGTTTTCAGAGGCAGTTAATCACATGGGAGGAGATTGCCCATCCTTCTTCCCTGAAGCAGCACCATGACACTAACCTATAGGAAAAGCAGGAACGATTTGATAAATGCATAAGCTGTACAAAGCAGGAATAATATATCACTGTGTCTTTTTTGGGGGGAAGGATCTTGGTGACAGCACTTTTACGGCCCTCCATGCGTGCTGCCTCTTTAATGACTTGCTGTAAAACAAACCCTAAATGTTAGGTTTCACTTTTCACCTTTTTTCTGTTATGTTGTTGTTTTACGTTTTTAAGTTGACCATGACTTATAGCAACACTATGAATAAAAGCTCTGAACCAGCCCTATCCTGAGCCAACCTCAGTGTTTATGATAAGTTGTTGTTGCTGATAAGTGCCGTCGAGTCGTAGACCACTCATAGTGACCCTATGAATGAAAAACGTGAACACTTTTATAACTTTTGTCATTTCTCCATGTTGATAGAGTTTCTGGAAGCAAGCCATTTCAGAAGTGTATGCCACTCCTGCTTCCAAGCTTGTTTTAATTGGGAAGCTCTACCAAAAACACTGTCCACCATGGGTAACCATTATCTCATCTGGCACATCAGTGTCACAGTGTTTAGCATCACAGCAACCATGAGTTACCTCTATACAGTAATACATGGACCAGTGCTATTCCACTTAGAAGAATGTTGGAGAAAAAAAAAATTTAAACGAGGTCTGAGTGCCACAGATGAAAGTCACCTACCTTGGGCATGGTAGTGTAACTTTCTGTCCACTCTTTCAACAGAGCTCTCTCTATGTTGTCATTGTTACTGTTGTTAGGTGCCGTCGAGTCGTAGATGACTCATGGCGACCCTATGAACAAAAGACCTGAACACTGTATAACTTTGGTCATTTCTCCATGTTCATAGTTTCTGGAGGCAAGAAACTCCACCAAACAATTGCCACAATCAATGTGTTAATATATCTCATCCAGGATCTTCCTCTCCAGTAGTGACCCTCCATTCTTCCAAGCACGTGATGTCCTTCTCCAGGGACCGGTCACCCCTACTAACATGCTCTGAGTATGTGAGAAGTTTTAAAATCTTTGTCTCTAAGGAGCAGCTTGATTTCGTCCTTTCTAGGACAGACCTGCTTGTTCTCCTAGCAGTGCATGGTATGCTCAATACTTTTCTTTGGCATCACAACTCAAAGGGATTGCTTCTTCTTCTTCTGTCTTCTTTACTGTCCAGCTCTCAGATGCATAGCAAGCAATTCAGAAGGCCACGGTCTGAATCAGTTGCAACTCATTCTCTAGACTTATATTATTTATCTTTAGCACTCTTGAGAGGTCACTGACAGCAGGTTTTCCCAAAACAACTTGTCTTTTGATTTCCTGACTTGATAGATGGAGTAAAGATTGAGGTTGTTAACAATTTCTTCTTACTCCATCTATCATGATGCTACCAATTGGCCTGGTGGTGAGAATCTTTGTTATCTTGATGTTGAGCTTCAATCCATATTGGGGACTACAGTCCTTGACCTTCTGCAGCAAATGCTTCAGGTCCTCCTCAGTTTGGGTAACCATGTTGTGTCATCTGCATAATGCAGGTTAGTGATAGGTCTTACCCCAATCAAGTTATCACATTCTTTTTCATAAAGTTCAATATATAGATTGATGGAGAAAGGATACATTCTTGATGATCTTCTGGATTTTGAACCACGCAGTGTTCTGTTCCCTTGCTCTGTTCAGACAGAAGCTTCTTGGTCTAGGTCTAGGTTTCACATGAGCACAATCAAGTGTCTGGGATTCCTATTCTTTTCAGTGCTAACAACAATATGTTGTGATCCACACAGTCAAATAATGCCTATGCATAGTCAATAAAACACAAATAGACATCCTGCTGGTACTCTTTGCTTTCAGCCAAGATCTATCTGACACTGGCAATCTCTAGTGCCATGGCCCCTGTATAAATGAAAAAAACCTCTTCAAATTTTCTTCAGGTAGTTAAAACAGGTACTAACGTAAGTCTTCCATCAAAGTGAAGTGGTGTAAAGCAAACTTTTTAAAAATTATTTGTGTGTGTGTACCGTCAAATTGGATCTGACTGGTAGAGAGGAGATTGTCTTTCTGAGATTGCAGTATAAAGCAAACTTTTGAAAAGCAGATAGTATACAGATGTTAGGAACAAGAGCTCACAGATTCAGTGATGGACTCCTTCCTTAACTGAAGCAGAAACAGAAGTGTCCCAGAGATTGGTGAAACTCACACTCCAGCGTGATATCAATCCTATACTTATTATATTTCTTCCTCACAATGCAGGCAGACCGTAAGATTCAGAGAGAGCCTGAGTAGTGCAAGGTTCTCAGCTCATATTTAATCATTTCCTTTATTTAATTAAATGTATTACCCAGTGACCTCAACGCTAACAAGGAATACCTTTTTAATTAATGGAAGAGAACTCTTTTCAAATCACCCTCTCCTTGCTTAGTTTGAGTGGGCCTAGAGAAGAACCAGTTTAGTGATGGAAGGGGAAAAAAAGACCGAGTAAAAGTGAGGAGTGGCAGCAGAGGAAAGGACAACTCTCAGACATTTTCCTTTGGGCAGATTTGCTTAAGATAGCCAGGGGTCAGTCATTTTTAAAGAAAAAACCTTTTGTTTTGTTTGTATCCCATTAGCCAACCAGTGGTCATCAAATTGATTGCAATTCAGTGACTCCTGACTGTCAGAGTATAATTTGTCCCCCACACTATCTTCAATGGCTCACTATTTTGAAGTAGATTACCAAGCCTTCAGAAGTAGACTCAAACCTACAATCTTTCAGTTAGTAGCTATGCATGTTAACCATTTGCACCATCCAGGCACTCTTCATCCCTGACCCCCACTCCAGGAACCCTTTTAAGCTATTACACAATTCTAAAAAGCTATTTTTCATATTTTTATCATAAAAATATTAATGCCTTCCCCGTTCCCCCTTTAAAGCACAAGTCAACTGATAAAATCACTCTTGTCACTTACCCGGTCATTCAAAATCTGATGGTTTAGGGGTGTCCAGGTACTCATCTTTGTCTGCATTTTGGGACCATCTACGTTTTTTGGTGGTGCAAATGCCATCATAAAATAATGGATATTCTTCCATGAGAGAAACTAGAAGAAATCAATCATATAATCTTCAAAATATTGAAATATTATGTTCGGTCTGGATTATTAGGGAGGGTGAAGGAAGGGAGAAGAATGTTATGGGGGACATTTTATGTGTTGCTGCTGTTGTAGTCAATCTGTCTGTGACTCAGAGTGACTCTAGGGCAGAGTAGAACTGCTCTGGAAGATGTTTAAGGCTGGAATCTTTATAGAAGTAGATTGCTACATCTTTCTTCCTCAGAGTCACTAGTGGATTCAAACTGCTAACCTTTCAGTTAGCACTTGAACACTTAACCATTGTGCCACCAGAGTTCTTTATGACTCAATGGCAGTGGTTTAAGGATATACATGCAATACTGGCCAAAAAAGGAATGTGTTTTAAAGTAGTTGTTCTCACAACAACGAGCTATCATCTCATCCCAGCAACAGAAGCAAAGTTCAATAGAGTAGAAAAAAAACTGCTGGTGAGGTTGTGGAGAGACTGGAACTCTTATTTACTGCTGGTGGGAATATAAAATGGTTGAGACACTTTGGAAAGCAGTCTGGCACTTTCTCAAAAAGTTGGAAATAGAAATACTATTTGACCCAGCAATTTCACTACTGTGAATATACTCTAAAGAAACCAGAACAACTCAAACAGATGTATGCACACCCATGTTTATTCCTGTGTAATTCACAATAGTAAAGAGATGGAAGTAACCGAAGTGCCCACCAGCAAATGAATGGATAGAAAAACTATGGTACATTCACACAACGTAATATTATGAAAAACAATGAACTTATAAAACATTAAACAATATGGGGAGCCTCAAGGACATTATGTGGAGTGAAATATCTCAGTCATAATAGGACAAATACTGCATAGTACCACTGTTATAAAATAAGCCAGACTTGGGGAGAGAGGTTAGGCTGAGAATGGAAAAGGGGGGATAGATAAGAAACACTGCATTAGAATTGATGAGGGGAAGGACATTCTGAAAAGGATTATATGATTAAGCACTGTATGTATGACACCAATCTGGAACAAGGGGCACGTTGCAGGGTAGGCTGAGGAGAGGAGGGGAGGAAGAAAATGCACAACAGTGGAAAAGAAATAAATATTTTAAAAATATGAAAAATATCAAGTAACTGTCCTAACCAAAAGGCTAAGCCTCTTTGTTCAAATCTATCAGTTGTTCCTCTGCAGAAAGATGGCAATCTTATCTCCTTCAGTGTGATTTATAGCTTTTGAAAACCCAATGGAGGAGGGTCACTTATCAGGCAGTTCTGTCTTGACAGTAATGAGTTGAATCGCTTTTTAATAAACAGAATGCCTTTTTTTTAAATCAAAGAACTTTCATTTCTATGAGGAATTACTTTTCCATGGCTTAGTTGAGGTGGCTAATCAAAGTAGCTTACCTGTGCCTAGCCAAGAATTGATTATGGAACCAAGCTACTTTTATTGTACTAACGTGGGTGTTTATCCTTATTTTATAGGTGAAGTGGTCAAAGCAGATTTTGTGCCCTGAACAGAAGATTAAGTTGTTACAGCTACCTTTTCCCACAGAAATAATGTCTTTTCTAAACCATTTTGTTAGTCATCTTATGTTTATGGAACATACATCTCTTCTTTTGCTTAGATCTGCTACAACCTGTTTCTGTTGTTTGCAACACAATATCCTATCCTGGCTCTAAAACTTACTAGTTAAGTAACTTGTTGAATACTATTTAATCAATCTTAGTCTCAATTTGCTCATCTGTAAAAATAATTATGTATACATATTTCTAAAATTATTACTAATACTTTTAGAGTAGAGTGAAATGGCAGAATTCCTGACAGTTTTTCCCTATCATTTGCAAAGTGTTATAACAAAATAGTTTAAGGTGAAGAAATTGGTAAAGCTTTAAAGTTGTTTCAATATATATCTTTAGTGTCTGCTTGCCTGCCTTCCTTTCTGAGGAGCAGCTTTCGCTGAGGGCCCAAGTCTGCCTACTTGATCTGTTCGCTCTAAAAATTACTCTACATCAACAAATATTGGATAATTCTTTTCATATTTATTAAGGGGCTGTTAAAAGATCTTCCCAAATGCTTATCTGAAGCCACTGCACCTCCTACTTGGCAATGTCTTTCTGTAGTTATCTATGCTACCATCACACCACGTTCCTCTACTGTGCATAGGGTTTTCATGGTCTTTCCCATCACTTGCTATGCATCTGAGGGCTGGACAATGAATAAAGATGACAGAGAATAAATGATGCCTTTGAGCTATGGTGTTGGAGAAGAGTAAGGAATATCTCATGGACTGCCAAAAGAACAAGCAAATATGTCTTGGAGAGAGTGCAGCCAGGGTGCTCCTTGGAGGCAAAAATGATAAAGCTTCACCTGACATATTTCAGGCATGTTTCTAGGAGAGGCTATTTATTGGAGAGGGACATGATGCTGGGAAGGGTTGAGGGTCAGACCTTCCACCAGGTAGATGGACACAGTGACTGCCTCAATGGGCTCTAGTGTGTCAAGAAGTGTGAGGATGACACAGGATAAGACACGGCTCATATCTGTTGTTCTTGGGTTGCTATAAGTCATACTTGACTTGACATCTAACAACAACAACAACCATCAAACCAATGGCTGTCTAGTGGAATGCCAACTCATGGTGACCCCTGTTAAGCCGTGTTCCAAACAGAGTGGCAGGTCTTTCTTCTGAGGTGCCTGCGAGTCAACTCAAACCTCCAATCTTCCCATAGCAGCTGAACACTTTACCTCTTTCACCACACTGGCTTAGTTATAAGGAATTGCACTACTAATGCAAAGGTACATGGCTTGAATCCACCAGCTGCTCTGCAGGAGAAAGATGGGAAATCTCCTCCTGTGTAATTTACTGCGTGCGAAACCCTCTCAGCTATGACTTGGTTGCAACTCGACGGTACACAACAACAGAGGAATAAAGGGGCTCAGAAGAGTCCTCAGGTTCTTCTAGTCTTTCTCAAACAACTAACAATCTGAGTCATCATATGATTAGCTAAGTTACAGAACACATAAGAAATTAGTTCATTAATGGCATCTATAAAAGTGAGCAATTTCTAAATACAAAGCACAGTCACAGAGTCTAGCTATACCCAGTTAATAATGACATAGTTTTGCTGTTGTTTTATTTAGGTTTTTACCTCTTCAAACCAGTTCTTTTACATCCTTTTTTGATGGTCAAAAAGCCCTGTAATGAAAATTGCGAGCCCTCTCCTTAGAAAAATGCACACAACTATAAGAGTTTGTTAATGCTAGGGTAAAAACCTTCCAGTTTGAGCTGTGAAACTCACTCTTCCCAGTTTGAGAAGGAAAGAAGATAATTTATGACCAATTCCTTGCACAACTTTTGAAGTAGGCAAAAATTGCTATTCTGTGTGGCTTTCTGATTCTGAGCTGGTTTTCTTTTTCCTTAAAGATAGAAGTTATATGAATTAAGCTTTGAGTCAAGTGAGAAAAAAATTGGTATTTGTGAGATGAGACTGGCAGCAGGAGCAGCAGCCTTTTGTTAATACAGCACTGTAAAAACCAGTATTTAGTTGTTATGTATTACACATTATTTTCTCCTCATTCCATTCCAGGAAGGGACTGTTTCATATTTCTCCTAAGGAGCACCTGGCGGATTAGAACTGCAAACCTTTCCTGCTCCGAACCACCCCATAGGTCTCCTTGCTCCATTTCAAATGATGGGAAGTACACATAAATGCACAAGTTTATGGTACAGACCACCAGCAGCTACTAAAAATATAACCTTTTACATAACATGCATGAGAAAGAATTCCTCCATTCCATCTGTAAAGCAGAGCAAGTTGTCATCCCCCCCCCCTTTTTTTTGTCATCCTCTTCTTTAGCTCTGAAAGCTTCTTGATACTTTTGGGGGAGCACTGGTGGCCTTGTGATTAAGACTTTTGTTGCTAAACAAAAGATGGGTAGTTGGTGTCCACTAAACACTGTGTGGAAGAAGGATGAGGCAGGTGCTGTGTGCCTCATAGGGATTTACAGCTCTGGAGGCACTTCAGCTTTGTCCTTCAGGGACTCCAAGAGCCAGAATGCACTCTAGGGCAGGGGGCTTGGTTTTGAGGTTGCTGTTTTTATTCTTTGTAAATATTTCAAACTTTCAGAGCTCGGGTTACTTTTTGGTGACCTCTTTCCACCTAAAACCTCTCTCACTGTCCTTGAATCTACCTGACTCATGACTACCTCTGAGTTTCAAGGCAGCAGATGTCTCAATCTTTCTCCTGAAGAGCAACAGATGGCTTTGAAGCGCTGATCTTTTAGTTATCAGCCCAATGTTTAATGCACGATGCCACTACATAGCAGGTTAAATAAATAAATAGTAACAGAATGACTAACTCATGGGGAAGTAAAAGTAGTAGAAATTAGGAGCGAAACGCAGAACCGTGCACAGGGAATTTATTCAGGACTATCGATTTTATTTTCATTTTATGGATTAGAACAAGATGGAGTTTTTCTCGTGGTAAGAAGCCACAGTAAGTTTAGTAAAGGGAATCGCAGAAAGTATTAGGAAATTGGTATAGTATGGCTAGATTTAAAGACGAGGTCATTTTAAATTCAGCTCATTAAAAACAGAATAAGAAGTACACTACAAAGCCAAGCACTAAAGCTTGATAAGCATACAATACTTATTTATTGACTGTTAATTTCATTAAGTATGAAGCATCTGGCACTTTAGCTGGAGGTTAAATGAGAGCAAAACGTGGTCCCCAGAAACACTGACAAGGGTGGTGAGAGGCCCAGGAGGATTTGAGAATAGAGTCTCAAACACAGTCTCCATCTTTATCATGCAGCGCCCACTGCTCTCACCTCGTTCAGCGGGTCTCCTTCAGGCCTGAAGCGCTGCTGTTGCCATAGTTGCACCAGGCCCCTCTCTCTGTGCCTCCAGCCCCCACCCTTCCTAGCGTCCAGTAATCCAATCACAGTTTATAAATGTTATCGCTGGCATCCGGGGTCTCTT